GGCTTGACACGGGTAGGTCGGCACCCCAGAATGGTCGTACTGGATAGGTCGGGCACCCCAGAAATGCCTGGCAATATGTATGATACGTGATTGTATGGTATGTGGTATGATTGGGGAACTCACTAAGCTTCGTGCTTACAGTTTTCGGTTTTGGTTTCAGGTACCTCTTCTTTGAAGGAGAAGGAGCTCGCGCGGTAGCAGCACATCACACACACGCTCTGTATTCCGCATTATGAAATCTTCATGGGGAATTGTACTGTGTTTTTATTATGATTTTATTAACTGGTTTCCAGACACGCACATCCTTTATGAAATGATATGATCAATGAATGTTTTATTCTAATGTTTTGCTAAGTATGTGTATTTGAAAATGAAATTTTTGGCTCGTATTTTTGGGGCGTTACACACACACACACACACACACATATATATATATATATATATAAACCAAGCACTGGAGTAATGTTTTCAAAGAGCTATGGATCGGCTCATCATCCCAGTCATAGAAGCTTCCAGCATGACCGCTATTCAAATTTTCCACACCACCAACATCATCTTGGCTGATACTTCAAGATTCACATTCATCGGCTCCATCCCTGAGGCGATGCTTCACAATGTTCCTACAGTGAGTGAATTCATACCAAACTGTCGCAGTCTATCAGCCTTCGGTCTTCGACCAATAATAGATGTTGTTCGCAAGTTTCTTGAGGAGGCCGACAAACCAAAGAAGGGTGGAAAGAAAAGAACTGTGAAGGTTGGTCCATCTGAAACTGCCCAAACCCCCAAGAAGATGGCCAAGCGAGCGGATCGCAAGCCGCGAACTCCCACCCCAATTAATGAGGAGGATTCACAATCCAACACTATCTCTAAGATTCGCATCGAACAGCACGAACAATATGACACTGCTGTGACTTCGCAACCCCACGTTTCGGAGCTAATACCTACGAATCCATAGGTAACTTTTTCAATGCCTGAATCTGTTCCCCTTACTGATGACTTCTTTCAACAAACTACTCCTCACTCTCCCATTACTACTACGACGCTAATCATTATCGCACCATTTTCATACGTGTTTGTGTGTGCTCATGGCAGTGGAGATAAAAGATGTGGAATCCTCAAAACGAATCATTTTCAAAAATCCCACAAGCACATCGAATCGAGCTTTGTTAAACGGCTTTGTGAACAAATCTGCCACATTATTTGCAGTGGGAACTTGTTCTACCCGAATGAACGAACGCTCTTAACAATCTCTGATGAAATGCATTTTGATGTCAATGTGCTTGGTTTTCAAGTGATGGACTGGATTTTTAGTGATCTGAATGGCAGCCTCATTATCACAAAAGATAGGGGTTTCTAAATAATTCAAACTGTAATCCAACAACTGATGTTGGATCCATATAACTTGAGAGCAACAAGCAGAGGCAGCAACGTATTCCGCTTCTACCGTTGAGGCTGCCAAGACACCAGTCGATCGCTCAGATTTAGAGAAAGAGACATTCATACTTTGGCTCGTCACCAAATCATATGCAGAAAATAGGTCATGGATGTTGCTACTAAGGAGTTCACAGGAATGGTCGCCACAATCATTAATGGGAAGTTATGGATGAGAGCCATGGGAAATTCTGATATGATGTTGTTCGAGAATCCTAAAGAGTGATAACCAAGTCTACGCTAGCCGCAAACCAAGGGGGAGATTTATAGGCTATAATTTATTCCCTAATCTGTTAGATCCAAATCAGTGATCAAGTGATATTGCAATCAGTTAGAGTGTAGAAGGAGTAGAAGATGAATTAAACCAAGCATGCACACATTTATATCATATAAATGTCAAATACACCTTGGAAAACACACACATGCGTCACCTCTAAACTGACACAGACACAGACTATTTATACCACACACAGCAGCACACAAGTGTACAGTCGCACACATGTGTACGACCGTACACGTGTGCGGCCGCACACACCCACAATCATACTACAACCACTAAAAAAATTCTAACATCCTACCAAGACCTATACATGATAATGCCTAACCCAAACCACTAAATTATAGCCTATCAAAGCCACTTCCAGAACACCTAAAATATGCATATCTTGGAGAAAAAGAAACACTACCAGTTATCATATCCAACAAGCTGTCAGAAAAAGAAGAGTTCGAGTTGATCAGAATTCTGAAGGAGTATAAAACTGCAATTGGGTGGACTATTGCAGACATCAAAGGACTCAGCCCATCTCTTTGCATGTACAAAATTTTTATGGAAGAGGATTATAAGCCATCGCGAGAAGCCCAACGCAGATTAAACCCACCAATGATGGAGGTGGTGAAAAAAGAAGTTATGAAGTTACTGGATGCTGGAATGATATACCTAATTTCTGACAACAAGTGGGTCAGCCCAGTTCAAGTTGTTCCCAAGAAGGCTGGGGTGACAATGGTAGAGAACAAATAAGGAGAGCTGGTTCCAACTCGGGTTCAAAAGAGATGGCGCGTGTGTATTGACTACAGAAAATTAAATGCTGCCACCCGGAAAGATCATTTTCCTCTCCCATTCATAAATTAGATGATAGAGAAGCTTGCTGGAAAATCTCACTACTGCTGCTTGGATGGATTTTTAGGTTTCCACCAGATTCTAGTTACTCCAGAAGATCAGGAGAAAACAACTTTCACCTACCCTTTTGGGACATTCGCGTATAGGTGTATGCGCTTTGGACTCTGCAACGCACCTGCTACCTTTCAAAGGTGTATGGTTAGTATCTTTTCTAAGCATGTCAAAAATATCATAGAAGTCTTCATGGATGATTTTACCGTCTATGGAGACTCCTTTGATATTTGTTTGAAAAACCTTACAAATTTTTTACAAAGATATATATAAACAGACTTGGTCTTAAATTTTGAAAAATGTCACTTTATGGTTGACCAAAGTCTGATTCTTGGACATATTGTTTCAAAAAGAGGTTTAGAAGTTGATAAAGCAAAAATAGATTTTATAAAGAGCTTACCCTACCCGAAGAATGTCCGGGAAGTTCGTTCCTTTCTTGGTCATGCAGTGTTTTACAGGAGGTTTATAAAAGATTTTTCAAAGATATCAGTTCCCATGTGCTAGTTGTTGCAAAAAGATGCTGAATTTGACTTCAATGAAGATTGCAAGAAGGCTTTTGATGCGCTGAAAAATCATCTTACTTCTGCCCCCATCATTCAACCCCCAGATTGGAGTTTACCATTCGAGATAATGTGTGACGCCAGTAACACTGTTGTTGGAGCTGTTCTAAGACAGATAAAAGATCGGGTTCCCCACGTTATATATTATGCATCAAAAACCTTGGATAATGCCCAAACAAATTACTTCACTACAGAAAAAGAGTTGTTGTCAATCGTTTGTGGAATGGAAAATTTTAGACTATATTTGCTGGGCACGAAAGTTATAATTTTTTCTGATCACGAAGCCATTAGGTACCTTCTTGCCAAAAAATACTCAAAGCCAAGGTTGATTAGATGGATTTTGCTGCCACGGGAATTTGATATAGAGATTAGGGACAAAAGTGGGAGAGAAAATTTGGTAGTTGATCATTTGAGCCGACTCACTCCACCTAAAGACCCGATACCGATCCGCGAAACATTTCCTGACGAGCCGTATCTATGGAAACATTGTGTTGATCAGTTGATTAGGAGATGTGTACCTCAAGATGAAGTCAAGTCAATCCTGAATTTATGCCATTCAGAAGCTTGTGGAGGGCTTTATGGTCCACAATGAACCGCATGCAAGGTCTTCGACAACGGTCTTTATTGGCCTCATATTTTTCGTGACTTTTTTCTATTTTACAAAACTTGTGAAAGGTGCCAAATGACTGGGTCTTTGACATCTCGTAATCAAATTCCACTTACTCCGATCTTGGTATGTGAAAATTTTGACGTTTGGGGTATAGATTTCATGGGTCCATTTCCGCCTTCTTTCGGGTTTGTATACATCTTACGTGCTATGGATTACGTGTCCAAATGGGTCGAGGCAAAAGCTACACGAAAAGACGATGCCAAGGTTGTGGTTGATTTTGTCAAGATAAATATATTTACTAGGTTTGGGACACCAAAGGCTATTATTAGTGATCGGGGCATGCATTTCTGCAACCGCACCCTCTAAGCATTCCTCAAGAAATATGGTGTCACACATCGGGTATCCACAGCATGTCACCCGCAAACCAATGGGCAGGCTGAAGCTTCAAATAGACAGATCAAAGGAAATATAGAGAAAACCATCAATCCAGTCAAGAAAGATTGGAGTATTCGATTGGATGATGCGTTATGGGCTTATCGGACAACATACAAAACTTCTATTGGTATGTCACCATATAGATTTGTTTTTGGAAAACCTTGTCGATTACCGGTTGAATTGGAGCATCGAGCATATTGGGCTATCATAAACTTGAATATGAGAATGGATGAAGCTGGGAGGAAACGAAAATTGGATATCCAAGAGTTAGAAGAAATCAGGAATGATGCTTACAAGAACGAAGCAATCTATAAGGAGAAGACGAAAGCGTTTCACGACAAGATTATCTCGTGAAAGGTATTCACTACCAGTCAAAAGGTACTCTTATATCACTCGCGTTTCAAACTTATTTCTGGTAAATTGAGGTCTCGTTGGATGGGACCTTTTGTTGTTACTAACGTGTTTGATCATGGTACCATTAAAATTAAGAGTGAACAAACAGGAAATATTTTTAAGGTAAATGGTCACCGTCTCAAACCATTTTACGAAGGGTTTCAAGTTACAAATGAAGAAGTGGAGGTAGTCGAGGTCCCGACTTACCGCAATTAAGGAAACCAAGTAACAATGTCGAGCCAGCGATAATAAAAATGGGCAGCTTGTCGGGAGGCAACCCGAGCGTTTGTTTTGGTTTTCGTTTTTGCAACTTCTTTTTAATTTTTGTGTGTTTTTAGCTATTTAGTTCGTCTCCTTTTAATTAAATCGTGCTTTTAAAATAAGAAGGAACAGAGAGAATTTGATGAAATTTGAAAAATACAGTTTTGGTGGAACCTACGACTACATGCACAGTCGTTGCGATCGCAGATTATACATTTTGGGGTTGCAGGTAGTCATTGAGATTTTTTTGGAACTGTTTTCACGAAAATAGAAAACCTGTGATCGCAGGTTGTCCCCTTGCGATCGTAGGTATCAGCTTTTAGAGTTTGGAACACTTTTAAACAATTTTAAAATCGATTGGAATATAATTTAGCAAACCTGCGATCGCATGTATCTCGTTTTTGTTCCTGGATCACATTTGAATGTTAAAAAATCGATTAAAGTCATTTTTCAAAACCTGCGATCGTAGGTTCCCTACCTGCGATTGCATGTGTCAAGATATTACCGTTACCTGCCTCGAAAAACGTGCCTAACGGTCAAAATTGAAAAACCTACTATCGCAGGTTGTGTTTTTCCTATAAATACCGATCGTAGGTCTCATTTGTAACCACCACACTCCAAAAAATTCTCTCTGAATTCCACTACATTTTGAGTTTTTCCACCAATAAACACCCAAATAGCTTATTTTTCGTCCAAATCAAGCAAATAAGGTATCAATCTCTTCTATTTTACTCCTACAACATCTTTACGGTAATGAAATCATGTTTTCATGGGTGAAATTCTCCAAAAATCTCATTTTGTTCATTTTGAAATTTGAATTTTTGTGAGTTTCTTTTTCAGATATACGCTCCGTTAGTGATCCGCAGGCCACGAAAAGTAGAAACGTTTGTCCACGATGCAATTCAGAAGAGATTCATCCGAACGGAATTTCAAAAAAAAATCGGCACGAAAAATATATTGCTGCTCAGGCACTCAGCGCACAATCAGGTATTTTCGTTCTGAAACTGAATTTATGTTTTTGTTATATATTTGTGCGATCTTTTGGGGGTAATTAGAAATACTTATTTTTTCTTTATTATTATTATTATTATTATTATTATTATTATACCTGGAAATTGTGCCTACCTTTTCCCAATTTACCTTGCAAAATGCCCCCTAGACCATCTCGTTCATGCAGACAGGGTGACACTCCAGAGCCGTCATACACTATCCAAGCGGACAATATCACGGTAGATTTAGGTTCACAGGTCGCACTTGACTGTTACCAGCGGCCTCTCGACCACGAGATTATGCCATAAGCCTAGGCCTCTAGCCGCACACTAATGCGGGAATTCCATATTTATGATGGTGTTCATGCTCTTTTTGCCAATATTAGCTAGGATTGCCTATTATCTGCGGATTTTACCACTTATCCCCTACTGACCCGAGAGTTTTTGACCACGCTTAGTGAAATAAATCATGAGGGAAACCTAGCTTTTCACATTTTTAGCACCCTTCATACTGTTCACGTGGACCATTTATGTACTATTTTCCATACCCCAATCACCAGTTTATTCCAACCCACCCCCGCTTTTGACGTACGCGAGTTTTGGTACTCCATCACTTGTTTTCCCTCTTATGATTCAGCCTCATCCGTACAGACTAGCATCATGCATCATGCTTTCAAAATTGCATTGAAATTTATATGCAATATCATTTATGCACAGCTTGAGACTACAAAAGTCGGCAAAGCCGAGCTTTTTCTTTTGTGGTGCATGATCACCGGGTCATACCGTGATATTATCATTAGACGGTTCCATAGAGTTATAACTCTTCGCACCGGTTGTGCAATTCGCTGTGGTGGTTTGATTTTTGTCATTGCCTGCTCCCTCACGTTGCAATCTCCTCCGGGGTACACCTTCTTTACAGGTGAATCTTTTCGCCTGACCCTGCAGAACCTTCGGGCTATGCACATGCTTCGTACTGCCCTAGGTGGGTATGTTTGGATGCAGGGTCGCTCCACTTATTTCAAGGTCACTGGCCCTGATGACATCGCCCTCGTTGACCCCATTAGCGACACTGTGTGGGTTCTTCAGTCGAACATCCTACTACCTCCTCACCCACGTAGGGCACAACAGGTCTGACAGCCACAGTCGGATCGATCGTCTTCGTCCACTCAACACCCAGATTACACGGACGCCACACCTATTTCCTTTATCCAGCCTGATCCTATGCAGAGTGACTTTCAGGATCAGCCCCCACCCACCCAGCCATCTTACCCTGACCCCAACTCCCCCTTCACTTTCCAGCATTATCTTGACATCCGTCATGATATTGCTTCCCTTCAGCAGACTATGACTGGTCTTCGCCTCGACTATCAGCTATTTAGCACTCAGGTTACCAGCTATCGTGATGAGCTCTTAGGTCTGCGCGGCGATTTCACCGACTTCTGCGATGATTTCTTCTGTCGCTATGCACCCCCGTCAGAGTAGTCGTCCTCTAGTCCTCCCTAAGCATTGAGGACAATGCTTAATGTTAAGCTTGGGGAGGGGATTTCCTATCTTTTTGTAAAAAGTTTTTTTCATTTTTATTATCTAAAAAAAAATAAAAATTTTAAAAATCCAAAAAAATTAGAAAACTTAAAAAATCCAAAAAGATTTTTCATTTATGTTTCTTTTATTTGCCATTTTATTTCTTCCTAGTATTTTTTTTAAAATATTTCAGTTTTGTTGCATTCTGCATTAAAAAAAATACGAGATGATGACACTCTTTACATACGATAGTTCCATAAAGTGAGATATTGAAAATTGAAAATGAAAAAATCCGAAGCGACTTGATTGTTATTGGAAGTGTAGAATCAACTGTCATAACCAGGGAACCCAAGACACATTGATTTGAAACCCCAACCTTAGATAATAAAAAAATGGCATGTTGAAACGTTTTTTGGTTGGTAATAACAGCTCTAGGATGATTTGCTTATTAGTGTTTAAAAAGAATCTTTATCGGCAACTCTGAACCCACAGAACATGACCCTATTTGTTGACACGTGTTACCTTCGCGGTAACAGAGAGCTTAAGTATTAGATCCACACAGTCAAAATGAGGAAATGGTACATCGTTATATCTAGTACCCAAATCAAAGAAATGCAAGCGCTCAATTGAAGAAACTTCAAGAAATTCCAAAGAGAGAGAGAGAGAGAGATAGAGAGAGAGAGAGAGATTGAAGAAATCAAGCTCAAAACGAAGTGTAAATCAAAGTTCAATCAAGTTAGAAGTCGTTCCAAAGTTACATCTGCCGAATAAAAAACTATGTGATATGATACTTGTGGTTCTCGAAAAAGTGAAAGCATAGAGCTCAGGCTCCTACGGGGGTTGGCCCTTGCTGCTTTGGCGAAAGCTGATTTGGTCATGCGGGTTCTTAAGGATGCGTTGATTCTGATTCTTGGCCATCTAGTCTTAAGGACATGAGATCCGGACTATGTTATTTTCGCTCATAAAGATAATTAAGGTATAAATTTTAAATAAAACTAGAGTTGGATTATTAGGTTACACCGTTTTGTGGTCTTCCTTACTTTGGGGGTCTGTGATACATGAAAGATAATAGGATGGTTGTTTTGGTGTTAGTGATTGGAGCTTATTATCGATGTAAAGTCCAGTCGTAAGAAAATATAAAAAGTAAGAAAAAGAAGGTAAAAAAAACATGTTTCATTTTAGTTGTTCGTTTCTCATTTGCATACTAGTTTAGTTCATTGTTCATCTTCTTTATCTTTGCATGCATGTTTTATGTTTAACTTTGGTAGTTATTATTATTTAGGTTTTTGTTTTTAGTTGACGTGTGTCTAGGTTTTCCCGTTATTGCCTTTAGCCCCAATTTCGTTTCCAAAGTTATCGTTTCCTTACTTGAGTGCAAGTAGGGTCTAAGCTTGGGGAGGTTTGTTAGATGCATTTTATATGCATCTTTTAACACAATTTCCTATGTATTTGATTATAAAAAGCTAACTAACTCCCGATTATTCTTATGTATTTCGTGTTTCATGATTATTTTGAAGAATGCCCGTACTGCTCACGTTTGTTACGACTTTTCAGGACCATTTGGAGCACATGGATGATTGTGCAAGTTCGGGATGCGTTTGTGGATGCTTTGGATCTTAATTGGAGTCTAAACCAAGGAGGGATGCCGGGAAATGATCAAGAACTGCTTGGAAGGAGGAACGACGATCAAAAGAGCAAAAAGAAGTAACATGCGATAGCAGGTATGCCTTTGCGATCACAAGTTGGGTCGCAGGTTGTCTTCAAGGTTTTCTCAAGCCAAAAAAATCATCAGTTTAGAAAAAAGTATTACATGCGATCGCAGGTTGGCCAATTTGCATCGAAATAGCAACGTACTTCATTAAAAAGTCTCGTGACTCGTTTAGGGTGAAACCTGCGATCGCAGGCTGTCCCTTTGCGATCGTAGGTACGGCGTTTTGACAGTTAGACGTATATATACAACCCCATACTCTTCCAGTAACCCGAATTAGTGATTCCTGGCGATTCGGAGGCGATTTTCAAAGGTTTTCAAGTGAAGAATGCAGATCTAAAGGAGACGATTCGATTCCAATTCATAGTTTAGTAAGATTTATCGTTTAAATTTTATTTTCACTGTTTGTAATCCGTTTTTAGCCATGTCAGGCTAAAAACTAAGATTTCAGTTTCGCAAGACGTAACCTTTTCGTATGATTAATCATTAGGCAGTATGTTTGACTTTGATTACTGTTTAGTTTGATCAATTAAGTGTAAAATTGAGTGTTTGATTTTGATTTCAATTTTTGTTGGCCACTTAAATTATTTGTGAATCATTCTAGTCATCTAATTGTTTAGATCTGTAATTATCTAGATTAATTAGTAAAAAGTGATATATATTAGATTAATTCTGAGTTTAGGGTTAACTCTAATATGAAATGATCAAACAAGTTTTAACGCCTCCGAGCTTATGAGAGGTAGTGAACTTTACTGGGAATTACACTGTGTCTAATGTACCTTTTACTTATTAGTCAAGAGCTTGTTTGGTTAATTTAGTAAAAAGTTAGATTTAATTCAGAGAATTTATTTTGATTAAATTATTTTTGTAATAAAGGTCATTAGAGCTTGTTAATGAACCTTAGTACCAGTTTAAACAAGTGCATAGTCAAATATTATGTTGAAGGTTAATTATATATATATGATTAGAGGAGTCGCAGCGAAACTGGAATTGCTTTCTTATATTTGAATTTTCACCACGTTAAATTTAGTTATTCTTTTGTCATTTTCGATTTCTATTAGTTTAATTTTCAGAAATAAACCCCCTTTTTTATGTTTATTGCATTCATCAAGAACTAATTCATACCTTATGCAAAGAGTCGTAAATGTTAGGACGTGGCCCTGAGGATCCGACCCTGCTTACCCGTACTACCTGTTAATGCAATAAAGCAGTTTATTTTATATTTTTATTTGTTAAATCGTGTACGACATCGGTCTTAACAGAGACTTTTGCCCCAGTGGCAAAGATGACTACAATCCATACTATGATTGTGTTTGCATTTGTTCGACGGTGGAAAATCTTTCAAATGGAAGTCAAGAATGCTTTTTTTGAATGGTGACCTCCATGAAGAGGTTTATATGTCTCCCCCTCGGAATTCAGCACCAGCCAGGTGAGGTTTTTTGGCTTCGTAAAGCTTTGTAGGGTCTCAAGCAAGCTCCTCGTGCTTGGTTTGAGAAATTCTCCATAGTGATTACCTCTCGTGGATTTTTTTAGAGTAATCATGATTCATCTTTGTTTGTTAGATGCTCGAGTGGATGACAGATTCTTTTGTCCTTAATATGTGGATGACATGATTATTACTGGTGATGACAATGCTGGTATTAAGTCTTTGAAGCATGATGTAGCTCATTGTTTTGATATGAAGGATTTGGGCTTGCTACGTTATTTCTTGGGTATTGAGGTAGCTCAGTCTAAAAAAGGGTATCTTCTTCTCATATTAAATATATATCTGAATTGTTTACATAGGAGGGCCTCTCTGATAATCGGACTGTATATACTCCTCTTGAAACTAATACACGGTGCTCTCCTACTGATGGTGCTCCTTTGTCTGATCCAAATCTTTACCAGACTTCTGTTCATTGGGGAGTTGCTCTTCATATTCTGAAATATCTTCGCGGGACTTAGTTTCAAACCATCTTGTTTCCCTCGACGTCTTCTCTTGAGTTACGTGCTTATAGTAATGGTGATTGGGACGTCATAATCGTATATCCACCACAAGATTTTTTGTGTTTCTTGGAGAGTCGCTCATTTCATGAAAGAGCAAGAAACAAGATGTTGTCTCTAGATCTTCCATGGAGGTTGAGTATCGTGTTATGGTTGTGACTACATGTGAGATTATCTGGTTGTGGTGGCTTCTTGCAGATATGGGGGTTCACATTTCTTCACCTACTCCCCTACATTGTGACAACAATAGTGCTATACATATTGCGAAGAATTCTATTTTCCATAAGCGAACGAAGCGCATTGAAATTGATTGTTACTTCACATGTCGTCACTTATAACTCAGAACCATATCCCTTCCATTTGTTTCATCAACCTTGCAACTTGCGGATATTATTACAAAGGCTCTATCAGTATCTCAGTTTCGTTTTTTGTGTGACAAAGTCTCAATGATTATTGTTGTATCAATGTGAGTTTGAGGGGGAATGTTAGCCTATATGTAGTTAGTCCACTTGTTTATGGACACTTTAGCATTTAGCCCATTAGGGTTTGGTATCTTAACTAGTATTTATTCTACTCTTCCTTTTTCTTAGCTTTCATACTTTTCATCTAGAACACTTGTAACTTTTCTCTCTCAATAATCATATGGCTCAATTATCAAATGCTAGTACAAGTTATTTTCATTCAATTATCGAGTTAATATAAAAAAACTTGATGAAATTTTTGTGTAATCCGAACAATAAACATTATATTTTATGTTTGGTACAGCCGTATATTCATATACATTATATTTTATTTCTTTGAAGTGTAATCGAAAAATAAACGTTGTTACCAAAAATCAAAGGAAAAAACATATTTGCTCTTCAACGTCAAGAATGCAAATAATACTTAGATTTACTTTGTTGAGTAAAGTCCAACATAAAAGAGCAATGTGTCGATCTACGTTTTACTAGCTATAAATATGTTATCATCCTGTACAAGCAAATAAAGCATGATGCACTTCTATGTTTCTTTTAGTTTAAGAATGAAGATTGCAAATCAACAAAGTCGCAAGCCTCTTTTCACATGGACCTACCAACTTCCTTTTAACTACAAAAAGAGGTACCTTAACAAGTACAACATACCAATAATTGAATGATGAACCACCCAAAGTAGGTAGCTCTAGAGATGCGCTAGTTCATATTATGTAACTGAAAATCCGATCCGATTTGAAACTTGGTTTTGATAGGATTCGATTGGGTTTTATCTCGATCCGATCCAGGTACAATCTGATCTAAAATCCGGCTAAATGCTTTGATTTTTTTTTTAACTTATGGAAAATAGATTCGTTAGAAAATTAAAACCACACAACAAACGTCGAAATGAAGAGTTATGGATGCTAAAGCTAAACTAGTAACGATAAATAAGTGCCGCTAAAATATTTTGGCAAATAATCTTTATATTTGTGGTATTCTATTTCAGTTTAATCTTCATTTTTTAGTCTTCAAAATCGAGATAGGATAAGGAGTCTCTTCAATACCATTATCCTCATCTTTGTCATCATTTTTTAATTTGGTTTTGGAGGCATGGTTAAGCCTAGTTCCAGTTCTTGTTCTAATATTCTCGGCTTGACGTTGTCTTGAAGTCTAGCATTCGAGTGTTGAGAAGCGTTGTATACGTTCCATCAAATCCAAATAATCATTCAAGCGAATGCAAATCTCCAACGACACGTTCATAAAATTCGATCTAAATTTTAATAAAACTCCACCACTAAAAGATAAAATTGTTTCCAAACTACCGTGAAGTATAAACGGTTAGTATATCACGAATCATGACAGGGAGAATTGAAAATTGTGATTTCTTTTCTTTCCATGTAGCCAAAAGATCTAAAAATTTAAATTCTAGTGAACTCATCAATTTTATAAAGTTAAAACTCATATAAATCTCAAATTCGTCGATAATGGTTCATGTGTATGCTCCTTTGGCATTATTCACACAATAGGTAGTTATAAATATAGAAGTGAAAACAATGGCCCCGACCTCGACTATCTGATACGTCACTAGTGGTTACATCGCCAAAAATGTTTGGCATGTTGTCAGATTTTGTAGCATAAATCATCAAATAAGAAAACTTTAGTTTGTCATAATTTAATACGATTACGACCCTTCACAGGGAATTGAGTTCCTTTATGTTATTTAATTAATGTTAAAAGAATTTCAAGCTTTGAGTCTTTTCTTCAACTACTCCATACAAAAAGTGGTCCAAACCAAGGTGAGCTACCCTTTTCAATTAAGAAGAAACTTGAACACAAAGTCTTTAATTTTCTAGACTATAAACACCATCTAATTGGGCCCCAATAGGTTTAATTAGAAAACCCACTTGCACCTTTTTTTTTTAATTATATTAGTATACTTGTGACTTTATTTTTCTGATAAATTTGTTTCTTTTATATAATAGTTATAATATCTTTTACATTTCTTTTATACAAAAAGTGGTCCAAACCAAGGTGGCCCCGACCACTTACACAAAGTCTTGCTTTCTCTTTTATATGTTGAAAAATAATAGTTTTGTAAATTCTTTATTTTAGAAACTAATTCAAGATTCATTTATAAAAGTGTTTAATGTCATAAAAATTCTTAAGTTTTTAAAAAATATTCAGTTTTACCTTTCGTTGTATTTTGGGTTCACTAAAGCTGGAAGTTTGCGTAATTTTTTTATTTATTTTTGGCTTTTTAACAGGTTACCTGGTTATCAACAGATCACCTACATATTACTTGAAAACTTAAGGATAAAAATGAATATTTTTTGAAAATTTAGGTGTTTTTATAACATTAGCCCAAAATATATAAATACGATTTTATACATATTTAAACATATAAATAACTTGTGTTTGTGTATATATATATATATATATATATATATATATATATATATATATATATATATATATATATATATATATATATATATATATATATATATATATATATCATATCTTTATGTTTACAATATGTATAAAACGTTATTTATATGAATTTAAAAAACATATATACGATTATTCGACTATGTTGAAGTGTTCTTTCGATTAAAAGTCAAAGTTTTAAGGGGAAGTATGTAATCCCAAATGCTCGAACCCACTATCAGTGTTGTAGAAACAAACGCCCCTACCAGTGTACCAACATATCTTTTTGGTATTACCTTATATATATATATATATATATATATATATATATATATATATATATATATATATATATATATATATATATATATATATATATATATATATATATATATATATATATATATGTGTGTGTGTGTGTGTGTGTGTCTAAAAAATATTAAAACATTTGTATACGCATTTAAAAATATAAAAAAAAATGCATTTATATATAATTAAATGTGTTTAAAAAATATTTCTAGAAATTTTATGTGTACAATATTTATAAAAATGTTTTTATATC